CATCTCCAGGGTCTTGTGATTTACATTCAGATGCTTGGCAACTGATTCATATTTATGACGGTCACAGTGTCCCAGGGTCATGTGAAGGGACCAAAACCTGCTGCAACCACCCAGCAGACGGGGGGAATAAAAACCAAACACCCCCCACCCCACCCCCGCTGCCAATCCTCAACAGAAATGCTCACAACAATGAAAACCTTGGACAGGAGGAAGAGCCCCGCCGGGCGGGCAGGCAGGTGTCTTCCTCGGCTGTGGCTTGGGGGGAACTTTTTCAGTGCCATTGTAATTTCAAACAGTCACTAAGCGAACTGTTGTAAGTTGAGGACTACCTGTACTTCATCACTTTTTTCCTTTCCTTTTTTTTTGATCAAGTTTTTGACACCTTGCTAGGCGACTGGTTGTACTCGGATATTGCCATATCCCAAAAGTGGTACAATGGGTGAAAAGGTTGAAAAGCCCTGGACTAGACTATTTGTGAGGAGGCAACCTCACCTTTCATGAAGGGCTGCACTGGCATTGCCCACCTGAGGACTTGAGCGTTGCTGGAGCAACGTGCCCAGTTCTGTGCCTTTCTGCCGTGTATCCTGCCCTATTCGAATTGTGCACTGGTTTCCTGGAATTTGTGTGTCCCCTTTGGGTACTCTTGCTATGCTGAGCTTGGAATCTAGACCTGTGCAACAGGTGTGCTTTCTGAGGACCTGATTCTTTCCATATGTGTGTGTGTGTGTGTGTGGGAGGGGGAATGGGGCAACACAAGCCCCCCAAAGGGAGAGCAGTTTCCAGGGAAGAGCTTAGCGCAAATATATTTGGGAAAAGCACCTCAAGAGGAGGCAACTCCACTTTTGTTCCCAGCACCTGTTTTCCAAAAGGTATTTTCTCTCAATGCAGGAATCTGATCTCCTTAGCCAACTCCGTTTTGTCAACCCCCGTCAGCCACTCACCTGCAGCTTCTCTACCTCCAGTTTGGTTTCCAGGGCTGCCAGGCCCACCTTGCCCTGCTCAGCAGCCAGTTGGTGGAAGAAGCTTCTCCATTTCACCAGCACCTCTGAGAACTGCAGCTGGAGGCAAGCAGAGAGACCGAATGAGCACCCCTTTCTCGAGGGAAAACATCTGCATCGCATCCCCGAGAGCTTGGTCAGTCCAGGAAGCATCCCTTGCATTGACCAGGAACCTTGGATGGGCATTGGTAGATCAGACCTCTTGGATAAGCGGATAATAATCGATGATTTTTTTTTAAAAAAAATTAAAAACAAATCGGATTTTTAAAAATTTAAATTGGATTTTTTTTTTATTTGTATCGAATGTATTTTAATAAAATGCTTCTGGAGTAAAAAATCTATCTAGTTTTCTATTTAAGATACATTAATAATTTAGTTTATTCAGCATGAAATGGAGCTTAGTTACGTAGCAGGAGGCTGTATACTTTGCAACATTTACATGTTTGGTAAACTCGTTCCATGAATCCAAGCTCTGCCAGCTGAGATAACATGCCCTGCATTGATGCGTTCACACAATTTCACAGTAACCATGCGATAAATCATAAAAAAGTTCAGGAATGTTCCTTTATTATCCCATTGTTTTGCAAATCTATGTAGATTACAAACTGTGTGATTGTTTGAACAGAAATGCATCTGTACCGGGCTCTAAAAGTTTTAATTAAATAAAAGAATTTGAGTAGTTCTCCAACTATGTGTAATTAACCTATTAACCTAAGATTGGTTCTGATATCGCTGTTTTACTGACCTGGCAGCTTAGTATTCTAAATAGGAAACCTTCATTTTGTTTGCAAATAATAATATTAAAGATTCCAACTACCAGCAACAATGAGTCCTTACGTTTAAAGAGCACCTGTCATTTCACATCTGGCTGGGGAATTCTGGGAGTTGAAGTCCATAGGTCTTAAAGTTGCCAAGGTTGGGGACCCCTGCTGTACAGTATGCAACACAGGACACAC